TAGGCTGAGAGAATATACCTAGATGTGGAGTGGGCTCCCAAAGCCCATTCCTGTATTAGGGATAAATACTGATCCACTACCAGAGCCCCCATAGATTAACCAGACCTCCAAACTGACATCCATGTTCAGGGGGTCTGAATCAGTCTTATACTGGTTTCCCAGCTATCAGTCTGGGGTCCAGGAACTCCCCCTTGTTCAGGTCAGCTGTTCCTGTGGGTTTCTCCACAGGAGAGGTCTTGACCCCTTTGCTTATCACCCCTCCCTCTCTGCAACTGGATTCCAAGAGTGTTAAGTGTTCAGTGTTGAGCTGTGGGTGTCTGCTTCTGCTTCCATCAGCTGGATGAAGGCTCTAGGATGGCATATAAGGTAGTCATCAATCTCACTATGGGAGAAGGGTATCTAAGGTAGCCTCTCCACTATTGCTTAGATTGTTAGTTGGGGTCATCCTTGTAGATCTCTGGACATTTCCCTAGTGCCAGATTTCTCTTTAAACCTATAATGGCTCCCTCTATTATGGTATCTCCTTTCTTGCTCTCCTCTATTCTTCCCCTGACTCAATCTTCCTGCTCTCTCATGTCTTCCTCTCTCCATAACTTCTTTTCCTATTTGCATCATCCCCACTCTCCTCCCCCAAACACGTAAATTTTTGTTTCATCGATTCTTGGATTGTTCTTTTACCTTATATTTCACTAATTTATGCCCTGATTTTCATTATTTCTTTCCATCTGCTTATAGGTCTTGTTTGCTCCTGTTTTTCAAAGATGTTGATGTACATCATTAAGTTATTTATTTGCACTGTCTCTGATTTCAGAAAGGAAAACACTCACATTACATACTTTCATCTTAGAATTGCCTTTGCTGTATCCCCAAATCTTGCTATAAATCAGGGGAAAGAGAGGAGTCCACAAGCTCCACAAACTGTTGAGGCTGTCTGTGTTGGTCAATTATCCATTGTCTCCCAGAGCTGTCCTTAGTGCAGCAGCTTTCCTTCTAGACTTACCAGAGGGCTCTGCTGGCCACATTTGCCTTTGAAGTCTGAAGGCTAAACAGGTTCTCCTACCCTCATGGGACTCCTCAGATCCTATTCCCTGATCTGGCTAATGTTCCAGTGGGGGGATGTCTCTCAAGTGTATCAGGAATGTGGGAGGCAACGACAGCACTGAGATCCACACAAGCATCTCAATGTAATATGCTGGAGCCTCGGAGTCTTGGGACTCCACCGCAGTAATGGAAGATGAATGACTTCCAAAGCTGATTCATTCTCAGACCTCAGGCTCAGCGCTGGGGAAGTTCTGACTTATTCTCTGCTGTTGGGGTTACCTGTGCTTTTCATTATCTGCTCCCTGACCCTCCTGGCAATTGCTTTCCAGGGCTGTTTCTCATACTGAGCTGTTTAAATTCAAGCACTGTGGCCTGCAATGGTTTCCAGTTCTCAGGACCCCAGGGTAGCTCAGTTTTAAACAATAGGTTCACTCTCAAGACAGAGCCAAGCCACTGTCTTCTTTCTGAGTCATACAGAAGGATTACAAAATACAGATCATGGAGATGGCTCAGCAGTTACTCCTCTCTGGAATAGAGCTTGGTCTTTTTTCTTATTCTGACTCTTCTTTTACTGGGCCAGAGCTAAGCAACTTGTAGTTTGCAACTTCACTGGAAGACGATATTTCATTTTTCTTTTCTTTTTTTAAAAATATCTTTAAAAAAAAAGGTTTACTTACTTTTATTCTCCATGTACCTGTGAGTGAGTGTCTGCATGTAGGTACACACACCACGTGTGTTCCAGCTTGTGCATTGGCGGGAGTTACAGGCTGTTGTGAGCTATCCTATGTAGGTACTGATTAACCAACCTGGGTCTTCACCAAGAACAGAGGGTCCTTTTAACTACTGAAGCATCTCCCCAACCACAATCTTTTTTTTTTTTTCACCAGATATATAGTGTTAACATGTTGACATAGAGCAGGGTCATCCAACCTGCTTCTTGTAACCCAGGAAAGTTATGAAGGTAGCCCAATACAAAACCACAACCTTATTTAAAACCTTGTGAAACTATTTTTGGTAACTTGATTGCATGACTCTTGAGAGTGAGTTTTGAAAGTGACTGTATCATGCCACAGTATCATGCTGTGTGTGCTCTTGATGTTTGTATGCATGTATGTCATCAATTTTACCAAGGTTTGTGGCTTCCAGTTGTGTTATCTTTCAAGCACAGACACTCAGATTGGCATCATCAGACATTGCATGTGTTAATGGTAACTTGGAGAGTGAAATGTGGCCATTGTCCAGGAAGTCTTAACCTACCATTACAAATGGTAGACATTCAGTGTTGCTTAGAAGACCAGTAAGTATTCTTACTTGATTATTAAGGGTGTTGCACCCTTAAGTTATGCCTCGTGGGCTGTCTGCTGCATTTTACAGTTGGCCCTCTGCCTCATCCAGCATTCCATGAGTCATACAGCGGTCCACAGTAACTATGCTCTTTATACATCTGAATGCATAGGCATCTCGTGCCCCTCCTCCCAGCAGGCTCCCTTCCATTCTCAGCAACAACAGAAGGGCCGGCTTCTCTCTACTTTGTTCACATTCTCCTATTTGGTCACATGGCCAAGATGTAGATACTACTTTGTTTACCCCAAAACTTAACAGAGCACTGTTGCTGAAAACTGAGAGCAGATTATGGCCCAGTAAAAGCACCAGCCCTTGGCTGTTGGTGTTGGCTTGTGGACATCAGTTCTCTCTTGGAGTATGCTCTAAATACAAATCATGATCAGGTATTGGGAATAAATCCTCACGCAAGACATGTGGCACCATTGTCTCAGCTGGGTACTCCAGGGTGGAATTAACCTAGAAAATCATGGCCTTTGGTTTATCCTTGGACACACAGTGGATTCTAAGACCTGTCATGCACCTGTGGGACTGTAGCTCTAGACAGGTCAGTGGATGTTCAACTGCATCTCCACAGGTGATTCTGGGCCAGTCGGTTTGATGCTGGTGGGTACCTTTAGGGAAGGAAGAATTTCCAGGCTCTAAATGGACTCTGAGCACATTCTATATGAGGAGAGCCTGGGCAATGCCTGAGTCTTTGATCAACCTAGGGCAGCAGGCATAGTCTAGGACGCTTCTATGTCTCGATGATCTTTCCTTGGAGTTCCATCTAAAACCAGGGGTGGGCTATGAGAAGATCCTAGGAAAGCTTGGCAGAGGGGCCAGGAGATCTCTAGCAACTCCTCATCCAGGCACCAGCCTGTGGCCTCCATACCTGGCCCACTTGGCCTAATGGACTTAGAAATGGCTATTTTGGGTGTTACTGGAAGAAGTTTTTTATTCTGGAGAGTACAGGGAGCCCAGGGCAGGGAGCATGAACGAATGCCAATGCCTTCTGAATCTCTGTACTGTAGGCTCCCTGGTCTCTTATGCTCACCTCCCTCCTTCTCAGTCCTGTAGATCAAGTTTTAGCCTTCTCTGCTTATCCTCTAACTGTCCACAGTCCTGAGTGTCAAGTCCTCAGCGAGAACACCGAGAAAGAGAAGCAAACTGTGAGGCCGTTTGAAACATAGCTCTATCCCCTCGCAACAAAGCTGGCCCACGGCTGGCCTTGGGTGGCCATGTCATCTGGTCACCCTTACTCCCTTTGCTATACTGTACTCACCATGTGCAGCCCCGATGACGGAACTGCTGCTTCTAATTCTCACAGGTACCCATGGACCCTCATAGTTCCAATGTAGCTCAATAGACTGGCTCTCAAGAGAACATACTTTCTCTCATGTCCTGGGATCCTTTGCTGTGGCCTAAATTAGACACTGTTCTGCTCTGAGCTTCCCTCTCACTGGGATGTAGAGGGAAAGGGTCATGGTGGGCTGAGAACATGGACTATTTGGAGTGAGAATTGCTTATCAGGTCCCGGCACTGGAACAGCAGCTTAGTACTCTTGAGAGAACACTGCTCTGACCCCACAGGGACCAATGGTAAGCTTCTCCAGTTCACTGGAGTTTTGGGTGATGGAGCCGTTTTTGTTGAGGCACTGTTTGAGAAGCAAATTCAACCCCTATTCTAGCTCTGTGAACTTCACAGCACAGGAGGTAGAGAGGGGGGAACCTTCTGGGAGCACAGGACTGGGCCTTTTCTACGATTTTAGCTGATCCTATACATTCCCCCAGTCTAATCCTCTCTCTATTCTTGGTGGCAAATGACTGAGACCCCGAGAGTAAGCGCATGGCTCAAGTCAGGAGATGAGTAAAGAGAGAATGGAATTTAAGCTCTTGTCCATCCATTGTATCTTCACACCCATGTGGTCCCAGTCTCACACTGCCTCTCTTGGGGCCACCAGCCCTTCTTATTCTCCTATGTGGAATGCAACTTAGAACTCACACAATAACTACCCTGGAAGTAATGGGGAATTTGCGAGTACGGAGGTATGTGATGTCTGGGCTACTAACATTGTACACTTGGACATTTGGAGTTGGTGCCGGCCTCCTTTACAAAACGGTTGAATGTAGACTAGAGAGAATTTGAAGACCAAACTGTATGAGGCAAGGGCTCTGGAGGAAGTGGGCCTGCATCAGTCAGCAAACCAACCTTTGACTTCCATTAACTCCCTTACCTAGGGTAGAAGCATGCAGAGTGCTGTGGTTTTCAGCTGTGTTACAGGAATAGAGTCCTACCCCTCTTGCCTTCTACCATGGCCTATGTGGGCAGGGTGGGTCTCCTTCCCCAGCAAACTCTTGTGACTTTACGCTAAGCCATTGCTTGTACAGCGCAAGCTTGTACAGCGCAAGACTGGCTGGCCTCCAAGGAGCAACCCAGGTCAGGTCATCTGGAGAAAAGGGAACCTCTTTCCCTGTAGAGATTGTCTGGCACTGGCAGTTAGACCAAGGAGTGTAACCAGGGCCTATTGCCTGCTAAACTCTTCAGCTAAGACTGCATGACCCCCCAGAGTCAAGTTTTGGGGGGGGGAACCAAGAGTGGAAAATTCTACATGGTAATATTCACTGCAGATTCTTGGCAGCTGTATTTGAATACAGATCTTTATTGGGAAAATTGTAGGTGAAGATACATCATTTTCATTGATATGACTTCAAAGTAGAAATGGCTTCTCAAATAACTGTCATATATTAAAGATGAGAATAAAAAAGCACACACTGCATATAGGAAGCTGCCTTCTCTTGGACCATTTTCACATTATCTGGGAGACAGAACTGAAACAAAATACATTATTCACCACACACAACACTGAACCCATCACTGCTCAGACACTGCAAGACCGTCGAGGTTGGCAATGACTCTGCTGGCTGCTTTTGTGAACTTGGCAATGACCAGTCTCCTGGGGGAATTTGGAGGTTTCTATGGAACATTTTGAGAAATGAGATTACCTTAAGATGGACCAGGGAAGCTGTGTAAGGAAAGACTCCCCAGTTCTCATCCAGCTAGAAACCGGTGCATTACCTGGGGAGGGTGACTGGCCCCTGTGAGGAGGTCCCTGGTGACACCACCAGTGAGAAAATCACGTGTGAGAAGATAACAGAACCCACTGGAGGGGCCCCAGGCCCCAGGCCCCAGGCCAGGTCCCAAGGAAGAATGCAACCTTTTGCTCTTGGGACCCTCAGAGATGAACAGGCAATGAACCAAAGGGTTCTGCTGCACTTCCTTGCTAGTGACCCATTGCCCTCGGGAGCCAGCAGCACAGTGTAAACAACACAAGGCACAAATCTGGATTTCAACACAAAGCAGACTAGAAGTCTCCAACCCCCTTTCCCTATCCAGATGCAAAGGCTGGTATTAGAGGGCTGGCGCCTGGCAGGTCACTTGGAGCCCAGGGGAAGATGAGATGCAGGGACAGCTAGGTGTCTCTAGTCAACAACAGTTCACTAATGTGCTGGGTTTGTATTTGAAAGCAAAGGGATGGGGGACTAAGGTATGTGTGGGGGGCTTTTCTTATGTAAATGTACTATTTAAATGCATATTTGCTTTAGGCAGACTGTCTCCATTCAGAAACTGATGGCTAGCAGAGGAATTGATATACAAATAAGTCTCCCTACAGTTTCTCTCCTCATCCTTTTCCCGGTGGAGGAGACATTGAAAGGACCAATAACTATAGAGAAGATAGAGGGCTGTGCTTGTTCCCAAGCAGCGCCCTTAAAACCTTGGGTTAGAGCAAAGTGGCTGCTGCACTAACATTGCAGTTGTGTGGTATCTAGTCCAGCCAGGTAGGAATGTTCATTTCAAGGGGACTCAAAACAATCCCTGTAATGATCCATAGCTGCAACGAGCCACATGCCCCACATCCTAACCGGTCTTTTAGTTTTTGTTCCAATTTGATAGAAGTCTTGCTGGATGGGGTTTCCTTCTTCTGTGAAGCCAGTTTAAAGGACTATTTATAGAAATGCCCTCCCCCCACACACATTGCTGATGTAACAGTTCTACAGATTATTCTCTCTTAAACACCTGTTTTTGATAATTCTCTTACTGTAGCTCACTTCCTCCATCTTACTTGGGTGGCCCCCCCTTTCCCTTCTCTTCTTCCTCTTTTTCATTTGAAGAACTAAAGGCCCTTACTGTGTTTTAGTGAACTTGACTGCATAAAAACTGCAGAGGACAAAACACTTCCAGGGCCACACTTCAAGCAGCCTTGTCCCAAGGAAAGGGACACAGTGATTGGTGCCAGCAAAGATGTCCCACGGCTAAGGTAAGGGATGGCAGCACTGCCAACAGTGAGGAAAATCAACCTAGGATTGATTCTTTGATTTGTTGACTTTAAAAATAACTGAAAAGAATTGAGAACTGTTATCCCTCAATAGATAGAATGCTGAGTTTGATACCAGAAGATAACACCATAGTTTTAAGATGACAGCTATGGAAATATTGAAGGTCAACAGTCCTCAGTGCAAACCATCTTTCCTTAGCTTTGTGCGTTCAAAGCAACCCTGTGAGGAGCAAAGAAACCGAGGCTGCTTGCATCCTCCGGGCCACAGCCTGGACGCCAGGGCCAGCTCCTCATACTCAGCCTTTGCATTTGGATCAGACACAGTGCATGCATGAACAAGACATTGGCCATAGATGAGGACATGGACTTTGAACAAAAGCAGAGGGGTGAACAAACAATATTCCAAACAAGACATACATGTGCACAGGGCTTTCGGGGAACACCAGACATTCTCCTTTCTTTCTTTCTTGCTGTCCCATTTGAATAAAAGATTTCATCTTGGGAGAGTCCTTTTTCGGGGTCACGGAGACAGTCTTGGAGACACATGATGATGGATGAGCGAGAATGATGAGCATGATGGATGAATAGCACAGCGTGGGATGAGGGTGGCTCTCACTCTTCCCTGACCTCACACTCCTGCCTCAGCTTGGGAAAGCTCTGCAGTTCTTGGGGTGGTGACACCCAGTTCCCATTAAGAAAAAGGGTGTGCCTTCTGTCTCAGCTCAAAGAGACAAACCTGGGGAGCCCCTACTCAGAGAAGGTCCTCCATGGCAAAGATACTATAACAAAGGAGATAATATAGTGGCTTTGGGCTGTTACCAACGACATTGGACAATCAGACTAAATGAAAAATAAACACCATGTATCTTGCTACATAATCAAATGGTGAAAATACAGCAAATTGTGCAAAGCAAGTCCCTTGGAAATGGCTTCAGCCCTGCTCAGGAGCAGAGGAAGAGGCCGTGGGCCCTTCCCTAACACTGACTTCAGACCTAGGCTCCTTCTGTAAGTTCCTCAGGCGTCTGACCCACGCCTCTCACATCTTGAGCCTCCTGTTGACAAGAACAGAGGAGACACCATTAAGGCAGATTCTCACCACCACGTGCCTGGGATGCTGCGTGGCCTGGCAGGAGCCACAGGCCCTACTCCTTATTTCAGCTTGCTGCCATGTGTCTTCCTTCCGAGGCTGGAGAGAGTGAGAAGGCAGGGAAGGACACAACTCAGGGTCTGGATGATGGTGGCAAGCACAGAAGACAGATGAACATGTCAAGCACATGATAAGGCACACACACACTGGCATAGGAGGCATGGTACAAGGAGCACACAACAAGGCACACTGCCTTAACCTCAGGACATTGATGCTGAGGCTATGTATCTAACTCAGCAACATCAGGCACTCTGTGTCCCTGGGCATCCCCAGGCCTCAGAACTCCAACAGAAGAGGTACTTCCCACAGCTTCCATCAAACTCTTCCTTGAAATCTCTTGGCTGGTGCCATGTCACCAGAAGAGGACTTGGCACTCAGGTGGCCTCTGGGCTGCATGTCCTCCTAGAAGGCGTCTGTGCAGGACACTGTAAGGACTATCCCTCTCACCTGCCTGTGAACTTGCAGGAACACATCCTACTTCACCTTATCACAAGATGAAATCAGCTTCGTGGGTGTTTCCATGGTGACTGTACAGCAGGCTGGGATTGCCCATCATAAGGGCTTCATAAGTCACATAAACACAGGGGTTCCCAGGAGCCACATAAAGACAAGTAGAACTCGCTTAGGGACAGTCTACTCTCTTAGCCTCTGCCGCCAGCTCCTCTAGGACTTGGAGATAGATGGTGGGAGGCAGAGTCCATGGGCATTTCTGAGAGTGGTCTTCCACCTCGGGGCAGCCTTAGTTTGGCCTTTGGTTGCTAGGGGGGCAACAGTTTTTCCAAGACCTGGAGAGGCTAGGCATTCCTTTCTAAGCAGAGCTATGGCTTGGGCACAGATATGCCTTCAAAGATGTTTTAGTAATAGTATGAAGGCCCCAGTTGAAGCCACTCTACCCCAGACTGCAGCTGCTACCTCAAGAAGGACGGGCAATGACCCTGGGCCTGAAGAGGTACCCACCCATAGTCCAGCTTGCTATCCTCAGATCTGAGAAGAGGATATGAACTGGCTGAGCTAAAGGGTAACAGTTGGTAACACTGTTACCTAAAGCTCCCTAGCAAGATACATGCCGGTAAGAACCATGAAGGGTAATATCTGTTTAATGCTAGAATCATAAGGAGCATATCAAGGGACACTGAACTTAGAGACCCAAGAGAGTGAGACACACAGGGTGAGTTTACATGAGGTGAAGAGGAGGCACAAGACTCAGAGTCCTCTTTCAAAACAATACTACTAAAATTAGAGCTGTGCCCTCCATCCTTCCAATCCAAACTGGCAAGAAACAAAGTAAAAACAAAAACAAGAACAAAACAACCCAGACATAAATTGCCAGGTGAGGTGGGGTGGGATAAAAGAATGTTCTAGAACTTTAAGCCAATTCACTGAAGGCAGACATCTCTCAGGAGTTAAGACTGGGGCAGCTGTGCCCAGATAACACACCATCCTAGGGATGCTGGGACCAAAAGGACTGACTAAAAGTCCCTGAAGCTACTAGCCCTTCAGTAAGTTCCAGAACACATCTGTCCTCCCCACGAGGGACCCGTTTAAAGACTCTAAAGTGAGTTGTCCAAAGAAAAGACTCCCTGAGAAGCAGCTCACATCTGTTTTCTGAGAATTCATCATTCCTCCTGCTCACCCAACAGTCTGCAGAAACCCTTCTGAGCAGAGCTGCTCACACAGCCAGGGGAGCAAGGCTGAAGTTCCTTCCTAGGCTGCAGGTCCTTGGGAAAGCTTGTGGTGAGCTTGAGAGCAAGTCAATCATCACCTCAAGTCCTGAGAAGGCCACAAGGGGCAGTGTGGCTGAGGGGAAGACATTGATGCCCTTTCCTGGCTAAGCAGACCACCCTGGCCTTCATAGGATTGTAGACTTTGGGTGTGAGCCTTGGGAACTCCTGGCCAGGGGCTCAGCTCGGGGCAACGCTGCCAGGCCGGGCAGATCCTCTGTGGCTTAGCCTCCACCCCAGTCTCTGTGCATCTACTATCTTCATAGCTTAGCAGACGGAGCAGGGCCTTAAGCGCATAAATACAGCAGCTGGTGTGGCCAGCAGGGCAGGGAAGTCTGAGCACCTGCCCAGAGTGTGAGGGTCTGCCCTGGGAAGAGGGAAGAGTTTACCATCAAGTGTGAGCACCTGCCCAGGCTGTGGGGTCTGCACCCGAAGAGGAAAGGGCGAGTTACAAAGCGCCATAGCAGAATGCACTGCGGTCCATCTGCAGGAAGCAGGTAACTAGTTTTTCTTTTTCTGGGCAGCCTTTCTCTTCTTCTGTCGCTTCTTTTTTCCTATCTTTTCTTTTTTCCCCACTTTTTCTTCTCTGCGCCCCCTTAGATAAAATTAGTAGAACCATTAATCACATTGCAACACACAGAAGTGTTTTGTAGTTCCCACAATATTTAGCATTGCCTCGTGAGCCAATTTAACTGTCTTCAGTTTGAGGCCTGGAGGCCCCTTGGCAAAATGAGCTTCATAAGCAATTTATTAAAGTCAACTAGACATTTCCCACCACCCAAAAGTTAAATAGGCTGCCTTAACCCCTATGACCCCGGAACTACTGCCAGTGGCTGCCAGTTTGCCAGTCCTGGTTCTTACCACCCCAGCCATGGCTCACCCTGAGCCAGGAATGCACATCTCAGAGGGTGTGGAAGGAAGCCCAGGGCTGCCTTCCTTTTCAATGCAGAGGTGAACTCTGCCTTCACTACAAATCTGCATTTCAAATGAAACAAAGCACTGGAGGCTGGAGGCCCCAGGCTCGGGCAGCTCTCCAGGAAAGGCTAGGAAAGCCAGCTTGATTGATCCCACCTCTCTTTTCTGGATGCTAGGGAGCATCCCCAGGGATAACTGAGATTGTTCTAGAGAGCTAGGGAGAGAGATGGTTAGCAGAGTTTTATTAGAGCAACTGGTTTGTGACTGTCACATTAAAATGATTCAAGCTGAATGGTATTTAATGATTTATGGGGTGAGGCCACCTGTTCCCACAAAAGCTTGATATTAACATGGCCTGGAGTCATGGGAGTTTTACATGGGAAACTAGGAAAGCTTGATATTACTGGAGTTGAGTCTGGGGATTACATGAGGATGTTAGAACCGAGGAGGAGGGGAAGGAGGAGAAATTAGTGAGTCAGGTATTATTCACCAGGAAACTAGAGTTCTACTTCCATTGGATTAAAAAAAAAATACACCAAAGCTTTTGTTGCAGACTCAACCTGCTCACAAGAGACAAGCCTGCCTGGTGTTGCAGCTCATCCACAGTCTGCTGGGGCAATCCACAGCGCCTGGCCGGCGGGTAGGCTTGTGTCTGGAATCTTCAAAAATGTATATGCTCTCCATCTAGCAACTAATGGATTTTATTTCAGGTAAATAAATTCCCACATACAGTAGGAGGTTTACAGCATGAAACAGTTAGCATTTTATTGCTAGTGCATATAGTGTCACAGTTGATACAATTTCAGTACAAGTGGAAAAATACACTGTCGCTGACATTGGAAAGCTGCAATACATTTCTATGTCATATATATATATATTTTTTTTACAAATTGCCAGTAGTTTAAGATCAGAGATTATCTACTGACATTACTATGGCTCAACTTCAAATATATGAATTGACTACAAATATATTCTGAAATACATTTGTTTTCTAAAGAAACATAAAAAGTGCACAAAAATATATGTAAAAAATGCCTTGCAAATAGTTACCAAAACCACCAGGGCCATCTGTGATCATAAGTATGTATCCAAGTTTTATCGTGTCTCCATTTCTGGTTGGAACCCGAAATCCCCACTGTGACTCCGTGGCAAGATTCTGGCTTGTTCATTATTATTATTTTTTTCATCTCTGAAACTCAGAGCCCATGGAGCCACCATGATGTATATAAATAAGACTTAGAGGCAATTAGAAAAAACCAAATTCCTCAAAATAAGTTCCCAAATTTAAATTTTTGTTTATAACTATTCCTCAGACTTGTCTTTTGTGGGGGAAAAAAAAAAGGCACGTTCTCACATATATCCAGGGGAGGCTGGCTCCGTTCTGCAGGAGGCCAAAGAGAAATCTCACAAAGGGCCCAAGTGAGAGGAAAGCACAGAGAAGAGAGAGGGATGTACCCCCCAATCCTCTCTTCCTTCTGATGCAGCATTGGTCGATCAGGACGAAGAGCTGAGAAGCAGAGGCCAGATGAAGCATGCTTTTGGAGGCAAGCAGAGAGCAGGGACGGCTAGGAAAGGACCTCTGAGCACAGACCCCAGGGATGTCTCCGGGAAGCTTTCTGTCGGTACCCAGGTACAGCCACTGCCTGAGCTGCGTGAGACTCACAGCAAGGCATCTGTCGAGGGGCGCCCCCTGCAGGACAAGTCCTGCAGTGCTCTTCCAGCTCGGAGGAACGTTACTCTTCTAGGGTTCCCTGCAAAGCCACCCCCTGCAACTGTGCCCAGAGGCCTCCAATGAAAAGAGAAGCTCCAAAGCAAATTGAATACAGACCTTGAAGTAATCACTGCTTTTAAAAATGAGGATGAGGATGAGGAGGATGAGGATGAAGCTAACTGGTTAGGATAATACAATTTCTTAGAAAAACCCCAGTTATAAAAGCTCCATTGTGCATGGCGAGGGCATGGATGAATATAAGCTGCAATATCGTACCATGTGCTATGCTGGAGTGTCTTTGTGCTGGCAAACCTCAGCATGACCCCGGTCAGTGCTGTCCCGCTGGCCAACCTGGCCAGGGTTCAGGCCCTCCTCCCCACCACTGCCCTTTCATCTCCCACGGATGTCAGCCTTCCTCGGGGGGTCTACTGGGAAGTCCTTTGGGCTGCCGTGCTTACTTGTTTAAAGCTTTATCCAGGTACTCCTGAATCCACTTTAGTTTCGGGTCAATGCACACTTGTCTGTTGTTGCTCTTCAGTCGTGCGCTGTAAAAACAAAAGAGGAGACACTGTGTGGGAGAGGGGGAAAGGCATTTCATGGACTCACCCAGCGCACTCAAGCTTATGGTCCTCACTGAAGGACCGGCTGCTACCCCGGAAGCCTCAGGTTTGAAAGTTGCTCGTGGCCCTTGAAGTGTAGCAGGTCCACCGCTGCTGCAGCGTTAGGAGTGTGCTAATGACATTTCCAGGGGACACAGGGAAGAGACCACAGTGGAGGCATTTGAGCTTCTGGCCTTAAGGGTTAGCAGGAGCTTGGCAAGTGAGTAAAGCAAAGGAAAACCAAGAACAAATACACTAAAGGAGAGGAAGCACCCAGAGGATGTGGGGGAAGAGTGGGTTCAGGAGGCTGGTAGAGCCACACGGAAGGGACAAACAGCAGTGACTTTATGGGGAACATCTTGTAAACCTCTGGAAAGTGCCAGAAGCAGCTTTTAGAATTCGATGCATTGCCTTGATAGCATACTGAACCAAATTAAGTGTAGCTCAGGAGGAAGACGAAATTGTTCAGCGAGGGGAGAGACAGTGCAGGTGAAATGGGACAGCTCAGGTGGGCAAGGACTTGTATAGCTGAATTGTCATGTGGTTTCTGGAGGGGATTTCAAGTTCACAGAATGCTCCACTCCATGCTCTTGTTTTTGTTTAAAGTTGACTCAATATTCTTCCTTGTACCCCTAAAGTTGCCTAGTGGGGAGATAACTGATCAAGTTGTCCTCAGGCTATTCTCTATTGAAGTTCTGAATGCCAGGTAATTCCAGCACACCCTGAGAACACTCCTCCCCCCACTGAATGGTCTCTAGAGAAAACCAACTCCTGCTCAGTGTCCTGGGACAGGTAAGTCCTCTTCTAGCAGGCTGCCCACTAATTGAATAGTCGTGCAGAGGAGGGGTATGACTTCAAATAGGGAACATGGGTTTCCATCTGGGTACAGCAATTTATTAATTTGGCAATCACCTGGGCCCAATAGTTGTATTTGGCACCATGGGTTCAAGGGCCAAACTAAATTCATCATCATCTTTAAAATACCTTTCAAGAGAACTGTATTTTAATCAAAATATTAAAAAAATATTCATTATCTAGGTGTCTAAAGCATACTGTATGTAACTAACATTCACAGCATTGAAGGCTGGGAAGAAAGGTTCATGAAGAAAAGAACGCCTAAGCAGTTATTGTTGGGTGGGAAAGTCCTTGGAAGAAACGGCACAGCTTTATCCCAGCTACTGTGTCCTCAGTTCATTGTTAAGGCATCTGAGGACGTGGACCCCTCCTAAGAGACTGAGCCATCACCATCTTCCCGTGTGGGATCACATCTCTCATTTATATGCTTCGGGCTTTTCTTATTTCCCACCTAAATTTAAATCAAATGTTGCCAGCGGCCGTCACCACCCAGCAAAACAACAACACAAAAACCAAAACTCTAAAACTAAGTGACCTTAAAATGTTGACCTTTCAGCAAGTGATATAATCGACTTCAACACTATCCAAGGCTCTTTTCTTTCTTTCTTTCTTTCTTTTCTGTATGAGAAAGGATTAACTTTGGACATCAGAGACCTGAAACTGTCAGGACACAGAAGACACAACTGTTGCTAGTTGAAGGCTGACCCCGGTAAAGTCTATGACTTTTTCTGCACAGCGGCAGCCCACTGAACTGCAAGAAGCAGCTTGGAAAGGAGGAACTCTGAGTGCAACAGGGTTCTGGGAACAAAAGTAGCCTTTGAAACTCATGTCTGATGTCGTATCAGGGTGCTCATGGTGGTAGCAGCTGCCACCAATTATGCCGATCTGAGGCTTTCTCTATTGCGCCCATCTTTGGAGGACGATGGCTAAAAGACTTACACAATCTGAAGGGCACAGTTCGGAGTGTTGAGGATTTTCAGATGTTTGACGTTGGATCTGGAGACATGGCTCTCGAAGAACCGGCACGGGCATCTGTAGCTCAGGCTGACTGGCTTACCTGAGGGTGTGGAGAGAGAACAAGGCCACTCATTACTCTGCCTGATGCTGGGGGCTGGATGGTGCCTTGCTGGTAGGTGAACCAGGAGCAACAACTGCAGGAATGGTTACAGATACATTCTTGCAAAGACGGTTGTCCTCTGGCTAGGGAGCACAGTGAGATGGGCTCAGCTTCTTATGGGACAAAAGACAAAAGGACCAAAGGACCTGGAGAAAGTGGAGGAGGTTCTAGGCTCCCTCCTCTTCCCTCTGGCCCAAGGCTGAAGTTGGGAGGGGGTTGCCATCTACCACCTGTAGTTTTCCCTCCTCCTACTCACCCTAAGCCCTGGAAATCACAAAAGAATTCAGAAGAGAGGCCCTGGATTTACCTTCCATCCAGCTTTCTCCAAAAGCTGGAGGCAAATGTGGCTTTTATGGTTACTACCTGGATGCCTAGGCCTCCTGGATCCTATTACCAGCTTTGTTTGCCAATTCAACAATTTGCAAAATGCCATAATTGACACTCATTAGTGTAAATTAGCAAGGGGCTCCTTTAGAAGTCCTCTTAAGACCTACCCTTTACATCTAGAATTGCAAAGCCCCAAGACCAGATTCATAGCTGCCCCCCCCCCAGGATTTTATCCCAGCTCTACTTAATATCCCCAAATGTTTGAATTTATGGATCTCTTTGCCAAAGTTCAAAAGTATGGCTGAGAATAGTTAGTGCAGGGATTTTAAGTTTGCTTATTTAGAGTTCCAGGGGACTTCTGGATGCTTAAAGTTCTGTACCTCTGGGAAGCAGCTGGAGAAAAGGGGGTCAAATCTCATGTGATGGGCTTTTCTTTTTTGCAGGTGTTATCTAGCCAAGGGATGGTGTGGCCTGGGAAGAGCAGTGCCTTTAGATACTAAAGCAGAGGAAAAGCAGATTTCGTGTCCAGGCCAGCTCTGCTGCCACCCTGGACTTGAGACCTAGAGAGCTCTCTGCTCAGGGAGCTAGAGCACATCTCATGCTAATGTGGTTTCTCTAATCAGGCCTGAGAAGCCTCCTGCCGTGGGTTTGATCAGGGAAGCCTAGGGTGCCTAGGGTCTGGCCGTTGCGTTATGACAACTGATTGGGAAAGACAGGAACCACAGCAAGGTTCGCTACGCAGCAACTTGGGAGCTGTGTAGGACCAGAGGACACACAGGTATTGGAGGTAAAGCAAACAATTCATTTGGGCATGCACTGGCTCCTGCCTGGAGAACAGGGTCCCATCCCGATACTGGATAGTAGAGGTCAATCGGACTCTTCCTAGGGTCAGAATTCGCCTGAGGGTGAGGCACCCCATTTACTCTGACAACTGCACTTCAGCCACGAGGACCTGGGTTCCTGCATTCTAGTCTCACACCCAAGGTCCCAACTGTGACACTTGCAACTTCACCAGCTCATGCGGTTCTTAATCCCCAAATCAACGTGGGTAGTGGGGGCCAGTGGGAAGTTGCAGCCTCCCAGGCGTTCTCATTAACAGATTTAAAAAAAAAAATCTAAATTGCCTGTCATTTGTGATTTTACTACTCCGATCAACAACTCATTGTGCTTCTAGAGAGCGTTTCTCTCCGCCCAAGCATTTCCAGCCTTTCTAACCAAACTCAGCCGAAAACAAGTTCCACCGCTACTGGTATCCAGTAGTTCACCGGGTGAGAACCCAGACCAACGCTCTGGTGTACTTGGGCGGCATATAGCTCGCAGCCTCACCGAGAGCCCGGACTGCCCCTCAGTTCTCTCCAGGAAACATCGCTGCCGAGGAAGGCAGGGGCCCGAAGGGTAGGGTTTTGTTTTGTGTGTCCAGAGGCAATGGTTTGTTTTGTTTTGCAGCAGCGGTGTCTTGTAACAGCGCAGAGAGTTTTCTCTTCAGTGTCAAAAAAAGAAAACAAAATGAAAGCCTTTTCCCAGTGAAACGGGACACCACCCTGGGTCTGGGAGACTGAACTCTGTTGCAGCTCCCATTCCGGAGCAGAGGGCTCTGGGGCTGGCTACAAAAGCGCCCATCTGCAGGTGTGTTTGGGGGTTGGGGAGAGTTGTGCATGGTTTGGGTGACTACTGTGCCTTAGCCTTGTGATCACCGGGAGAAAAAAAGGGGGGGGGGGGGAGCAGCGACAGAGACGCGTGCTCAGGTCCGCGTCGCTACGGACCAACGAACTGTGTGGAAGCGCTGCCCTAGCTGGTGGCGCGAGTTCAAGAGCTGCGCCGCGCCGCGCCTGGCCCCGGGCCCCGGGCCCCGGGCCCCTTAAGGGTGCTGTAAGAGGTCCCGCTCCGCTCGGGGAGGACGAAAGAAACTCAGCTGCACCCTATCTATAGCCAAGCCAAGCACGTTGAGCTGCTTGACTGGCCGTCAAGATTTTCCTTACACACGCACCAAATGAACCGATCTCGCGCACCGTAAGCTCAGGGACCGCGCTGC